TGAGGGTTCAAATAGCCGACCTTTCACTTAACAACTGAGTACTGAGCCACTTGTACCACAGTGCTCGTGGTTTGTTCTACATTCAGTAAACATCTACTGAGTTCTTACTACACCCATTCCTCACTTATCACCATGGATAGGTTCCAAAGACTAGGTCATTATACGAAAATCAGCCTTACCTCACACCTCAGCATTTGTTGGTGCTAGGTGCCGTGGAGTCGGTTCTGACTCATTGTGACCCTGTACAGGGTTTCCGAGGCTGTAAATCTTTACGGGAGCAGAAAGCCCTCATCTTTCTCCTACGAAACAGCTGGTAGTTTCGAACTGCTAACTATGAGGTTAGCAACCCGTTTCGTAACCACTACGCTACCAGAGCTCTTCAGCATTTGTTACTGTCAGGTTAATGCACAAAATAGACAGGAGAATTTTGTTTTGTCTTTAGCTAATGTCATAAATGCAGAATGTTGGAAAATGAGATTGTTGAGAAATGAGGAGTAGGTATATGTGTCCAAGATTGTTCTAGATTTGGGGATAGATCTGTGAACAAAACAGACAATTCCTGCCCTTGTGGAGTTTATATTCTCACATGGAAAATAACAATAAATATGATGGATTGTAAGGTTTGTTCAAAGGTGCCAGGTGCTATGGAGAAAAGAAGTGAGGTAGGATGAGAGAACTGGGAGTTACACAGGCTTCACATAGAAGGAAGGAAGAGAGTCAGAGATCCTCACTGAGAAGGTGATTTGAGCATCAGCATGAAGGAAGCAATGGAGAGCACCACAGAGGCATTTAGGGAAAGACTTGAGAGGAGAAAAGCCGAGGAAACAGCTGGTCCCATGTCCTGAGATGAGCATTTGCTGTGTGTTCTGGAAACAGCAAGGAAGTCCATGTTGCAGTGACAGAGCAAGGGGCCGTGTGAGTGTCCCTAAATGACATGAGAGACTGACTGGGGACACCTTGGAACGGACCTAGTCAGCCGCTGTCAGGACGGACGTGCCTCGCCCTCTAGTGGACAGGAGTCCCTGGAAGACGCTGAGCAGAGGAGAGACATGATCTGATGTCGGATTCAAAAGGGGCTCGCTGGTTGTGGCATCTAGAACAGACAGCTAGGGGCAAGGGTGGATGCACGGGACCCATTAGGAGTCACTGCCATTTCCAGATGGGAGAGGAGGTAGTTGTGAGGGTGGTGAGAACTAGTCAGATGCTGGACAGATAATGCTGAGTCAACAAGATTTGCTGGTAGAGCTCTAGGGGACCCTGGTGTGACACTGTAGGATAAGCACTGGGCTGCTAGCCACAGGTTGGTAGTTCAAACCCACCAGCTGTTCTGAGAAACCCTATAGTCGGAACTGAGACTCGACAGCATACAACAGCAACAACAGTGCACGAGGGGAAGGAAAGTCAAAGGTAGCCCCAAGGGTTTTGGTCTGAGCACCATCACCCAAGAGGAGGAAGATGGGCAGAACAGGGTAGAAGAGATCAGGAGTTCACTTCTGGACATGGGAGCTGAAGTATCTGTTAGACAACCACACGGAGACATCAGGAAAGTGTCAGATACCTGAATGTGAAGTTTAGGGGAAACAGTGTCTGATGCTTAGATAGGAATTTGGGAGCCACCAGCATTTAAATGAACTTTAAGTCTGTTGATGGCACAAAGCAGCAGCAGCAGGTAGGTTAGGTCTGTGTTTGTTGCCCCTCCCCATCCACCAGAGCTACATCAAGAAGAGACTCTTCATGTTCCGATTTGGGGACCGGAAGACGCGGATGAACTGGGTCCATGTACACAACCTGGTGCAGGCACACGTGCTGGCGGCTGAGGCCCTCACAGCCACCAAGGGCTTCGTGGCGGTGAGTCTCCTGCCAGCTGGGAGCCCCATCCCTCCTGTCCCTCCTGGATTCCTGCCTCACACACACAAAACTTCTCCCCAACCCCTGTGCTTACGATGACTGGCAGGACTGGCAGCTCAGGGAAGCTTGTTGAGTTGCTGAGCCTCTGATTAAACTCGTCCTGAACGACCACCTTGAGCTAGGTGCTGTTGATTGTGTAGTAATGGTTACCAAATGCCAAGCACTGAACATCTGTGATTTTATTTCATCTCCACAACATCCCAAAGAGGAGAGCCCATTCATATCCTCCCATGGGTCACATGAAGAGACTGTGGTTCAGAGAATTGGGTGATTTGGTTGAAGTCAGAGGAAATTACACAGATCCACTCAACTGTTGGATCCTGTGTGCCCCGGCCTGGGGATTGGCCACACTCCTAGAGGGAGAACTGGGGGGTTGGCACACTGCCAAGAACTATGTGAAAGGGTGGAGGCCAGGCTGATGGGCAGGTGCCTGACCGGCCCCTCTCCCCCTGCCCTTTGTCCCCCTCAGAGTGGGCAGGCATACTACATCAATGATGGAGAGAGCGTCAACCTCTTCGAGTGGATGGCCCCGCTGGTAGGTGTCCAGTCACCTGTGCCCACCCTGAATGAGAATCCAAGAAATCCCCACATCTCTATCTGCCATCCTTTCCTACTTCTAGAAATGCGCAAAACTTCCATCAGGAAGGTTTGAATGTATGGCTTCTCAAGAGACCAGCTCTGGCCATGGGTGCCATTGGAATTGGCTGGATCTGGGTGGCAGCTGCCCCTCTGGGAGGAACATGCACTTCTCATTTGCTGCAGTTCCCACCCTGCCTGCTGCCCCAATTTATGTTGAGGGCAACCTATGGCAACTTCATGTGTATCAGTATAACTGTGCTCCATAGGGTTTCAATGGCTGATTTTTCACAATGTTCCTCTGTCTGGACTTGAACCTCCAACCTTTCATTTAGCAGCTAAGCACATTAAATCTTTGCACCACCCAGGGATGACACGTTGTTGTGTGCCATCCAGTCAATGCTGACTCATTATGACTACAGGACAGAGTTTCCGAAGCTGTCATTTTTTTTTTCCTCTAAATTTTATTTTGTTATTGAGAATATAAATAGTAAAACACACACCATTTCAACAGATGTACAATTTAGGGACATTGATTACATCCTTTGAGTTGTGTAGCCATTTTACTCTCCTTGTGAGTTGTTCCTCTCTCAGAAACTCCCTGCCTCTCCTAAGAGTCTAAGCTAATCATTCCTTTGTCAGTTTGATCCCATATAGTTCCTAAAAGAATGCTGCTGAGTAAATAAGTCAGCCACAAAAAGGTAAATATTATGAGACCACTGTTATAAAAAAAAAAAAAAATCAAGAAAAAGTTCACACCGAAACAACAAAGAGCATAATTACAAAAAAAACAAACAAACAAACTGTTGTTTGGTCTTAAGATGACTTCAGGAGCAATTTTTGGTTTAAGGTTTAAAGATGATCTCAGGCAATTGTTTCATGGGTTCTATGAAACCGTATCTCCTCACCATGATTCCAAAAAGTCTACTCGTTGTTGTTGTTAAGAGCCATTGAGTCAATTCCAACCCATAGTGATCCTGTATAGGGTTTCTGAGAAGCGGCTGGTGAATTTGAACCGCTAACCTTACAGTTCAAACTGACTTTGTGGCCGAGTGCCACACCAGGACTCCAAAAAGTCTAGAGTCTATAACAATTTTAAATTATTTTCTGTATCTCTCCCCCCCCCCTTTGATCAGGATTCTTCTATGAAATATTTGATCAAAATGTTCAGTTATGGTGGCCAGGTACCACCCAGTTCTTAAGGTCTTATGGCAGAGAAGGTAGTTAGTTGTTCATGGGGTGATTAGCTACATGCCTTCCTCTTTTACTACTGGTGGAGTCCTGGTGTGATGCTGTGGGTTAATGTGCCAGACTGTAAAGTTGTTTGAATTGCTTGGCGGTTCAAGCTTACCAATCACTCCTTGGAAACCCTATACAGGGTCAATGTGGGTTGGAATTGACTCGATGGCACTTAACACCAACAACATTACTACTGGTAAATAGAGACCAATTGTTGTGCCTTGGATGGACACTTGCAAGTTAAGACCTCAGGCATTCCGTACTAGGCTGTAACCATCACAGAACAATTTGCTAGATCTTTCCTCTTGTGAATCACTACCTTTGAATTAGCAGCCGAGTACTTAACCATTGTACCACTAAGGCTCCATGTTGATTGATGTTGTTGTTAAGTTCCATCTAGTCTGTTCCACTCATAACAACCCTGTATAGGGTTTCCAAGGAATGACTGTTGATTTATGTTGTTGTTGTTAAGTGCCATCAAGTCAGTTCCAACTCATAGTGACCCTGTATAAGGTTTCCAAGGAGCAGCTGGTGAGCTTGAACCGCAGACTTTGCAGTTCAAACCAGCTTAGCAGTCTAGCGCATTAAACCACAGCGCCACACCAGGACTCCATTGATTTATAGCCCTGTGGAATGTTTGTTTTGTGGTCCAGCATACTAGGTGTTGAGGCTTTGAGAGAGGAATGTAAAAAGTAAATCACAGCACACACGGAGGTGTTTGTTTTTGGGACCTCCTACGTTCAGCCCTTTAGAGAACTCTAGCTTCCTTCCATCAGCCACTGACATCTCCAGGACAGGGGTAGACCAGAAATCCTCAACTGAAGGATAGACGCTTACAACATTCAGATCTTACACTTTAATTCCTCAGAGTTACCCTTGAAACCATGACAAGAAGCCAAGTGCACAAGGCAAAAAACAGTGGCCTTTTCTTCCCGGCTCTTACAGTTATTTTTAATTTTTAAAATAACTTTGTTAAAACTGAATTCAGAGTCATACAATTCAATGGGTTTGAGCATATTCAGAGTTGTGTAAGCATCACCATAGTCAATTTTATAACAGTCTCATCACCCCAAAAAAGGAAGCAACTGTTTCCATCTGACTCCAAGTGACCCTGTGTAGGGTGTCCAAGGTTGTCAGTCTTTGCAGGAGCAGAAAACCTCATCTTTCTCCTGTGGAACTGCTGGTAGTATCAAACTGCTGACCTTGAGGTTAGCAGCCCAACTCTTAACCACTATGCTACCAGAGCTCCTTCAGAGTGTCTAAAGGTAGATATATATTTTAAATTCTGACTCATAGTGGCTCTATAGAGCTGAGTACAATTTCTCCATGGGCTTTCCAGCACTGTCATCGTTACAAAAGAGGAGTGCCACAGCTTTCTCTCTCAGATTGGCGGGTGGGTTTGAACCACTGATCTTTTGGTTAGCAGCTAAGTACTTAATTACTGCAACTCCAAGGATTCTTCTTTGGGTATGCTGTTGTTGTTGTCAGGTGCCATCGAGTTAGTCCTGACTCAGAGACCCTTAGTATGAGAGAAGGAAACCCTGCCTGGGGCCTGTTCTCTTCTCACAATTGTCTCCATGTTTGAGCCCATTGGTTCAGCCACTGTGTCAATCCAACTCCCTGAGTGGGGATTGTTGGGGTTAAGTGCTGTTGAGTCAGTTCCTGGAGACTTACTCTCTCCCAATGGCTTCAATACACCTTGAACTTCTTCTTCAGGATCATTGGCTCTTGATTACATATAGGGTTTCCAAAGAGTGGTTGGTGGGTTTTAATAGCCGACCTTGCAGTTAGCAGTAAAGTGCTTATTCTACAGTGTCACACCTATAAATAATAAATAAATGGTGTGAATAATTCTAATTTAAAAACCCACCCCATGAATTCATTTCCTATGGTAAATTCTCCAAGTCGAACGGTCGATTCCACTTCAAGCCTGGCTCAGGTTTGTGGCTGACTGTGGGGTCGGCCACCATGACTGGGTGAGCAGTGCATGTGACCTGAGCACACACAGTCTCACCTCAGGCCATGTTTCCTTGCAGTTTCAGAAGCTGGGGTACAGCCAGCCCTGGATCCAGGTGCCTACTTCCTGGGTTTACCTGACAGGTAAGGGAAGGAGTCTGTGTTAAAAGCCCACCATGTGTATGTACTTACATTACCTTACTCTACACGCAGGACCAGGCCTAGGATGAGGTGCTTTATGTTGCAAAGGTGTAGTGCTCCAAACGTGACCTTGAGTTTGCAAGGCCTGGGAGGAAGGCTTCCTTAGAGTGGTGCCCTAGATGCCCCGCTGGTCGAGGTGGGTGTGGTGGGCCCTTTGGAAAGATGAGATAATTTCAGCTCAGACGGCTTCATAAAGGCCCAAGGAGCCACAGTGTGAATCGCACCTAGAAGTGGCTGAGTCTGTGCCAGAAGATAGTATGTCAGGAGAATGACCCATTCTCCAAGGCACCTTGAACCCAAGGTCTCCTTCTCAGTCTGAAGGCCATTTTCTGCTCCTGTGGGATATCCCCTCTTTGAAAGTACCTTTTAGCAGTTTCCACCCAACATCCCTCTTTGGACCTCCATCCAGCTGGGTGGGGTGCAGAGCAGGTCTCAGGCCTGGAGGTCAGCCTGAGGGTTCAGTCAGCCCTGTGGCCACACAGATAGCTGTTTCTAGGCAACCTTGACAGCATCAGTGTGTATTTCAAAGGCATTGGGAGGTTTTCCATTTAAAGGAGCGAGGCCCAGGACATCAGTGTCTCCCAGGTCACATAGGAGGAATGACGTCGTATGCAGCATTGTCACAGATTTAACACTCCTGGCCCTCAGCTGAGAAAAGACCAGTCACAACTGATGGCAGCTTTAGAGGAAACCAAAACCAACCCAATTGTCACTGAGTCAATTCCAACTTCTTGTGGTTTGGCGTCGTCGAGTCAGTTCTAACACACAGCGACCCTATGCCTGCGCCTTCCTCACAATCATTGTTATGCTTTAGCCCTTTGCTGGCCCTCCACTTTACCAAACATGATGTCATTCTCCAGGGACTGGTCCCTCCTGATAATATGTCTAAAGTGTGAAAATCAAAGTCTCCCCATCCTGGCTTCTAACAAACGTTCTGATTGTACTTCTTCCAACAAAGGTTTGTTTGTTCTTCTGGCAATCCATGGTACTTATAATATTCTTCTCCAGCACCATAACTCAAATGCATCAATTCTTCTATGGTCTTCTTTATTCGTTCTCCAACTTTTGCATGCATCTGAGGCTATTGAAAATAACATGGCTTGGGTAAGAAGCACCTTAGTCCTCAAACTGACATCTCTTCTCTTGAACACTTTAACTAGGTCTTGTGCAGCAGATTTGCCTAATGCAGTACATCATTTGATTTCTTGACTGCTGCTTCCTTGAGTGTTGATTATAGATCCAAACAAAATGAAGTTTTGACAACTTCAATTTTTTCTGCATATATTATGATGCTGTTTATAGTCCAGTGGTGAGGCTTTTTGTTTTCTTTTTACTGAGGTACAATCTATATTGACTGCTGTGGTCTGTGATCCTCATCAGTAAGAATTTTAAGTCCTCTTCACTTTCAGCAAGGAAGGTTGTATTCTGTCATTATCCTTTAGATTTCATTTGGTTACATTGTGACATCGCCCATGTGGTTTCTAATACAAGTTATTTGTGTCTTCTCC